GAATGTAGGAATTTATCCAAACTTAATATGAATTTTAATTCCACAAAATTCATGTGCTTACAGTAACGTTGAGCATAAATGTCAAATTCTCTCTAACGGACCGTCGCTCTTAATACGGTAGAATATTCCTTAGTAAATGCTACCGGACGCAAGGCATTTAATACACTTTTATGAATGTTATTTGTTCCGGTGACAAGCGCAGTGACTGCGTTCGGTCCTCAACCATTCCATATTGGATTCCACGTATCCTCCTTTTAGTCAGCCACATGTCATATCATATTTTACCATATACAAATATGTGTAGTATTTATAAGTTATACCATTATTTGTATGATTGTATCAAGTAGTAGTAACGTCATTAAGTCAACTGTTCTTTGGTGTTTGCTAGATCTTTTAATTTTTTAGTAAAAACGGGTGACATACCTTACCTAAATAATAGAAACATCACAGATGTATAATACGAGAATGTGAATTAGAGCCATAGAATTATCAATTAATATAACACAAAGCACTTAATGGATACAACAATATAATGTACTTATATTCCTATATTAGTCGGCAATGACTAGGACTTCCAAGGGATTCCTCATTTTTGCATAGCCGGCAGTTAGGTTGGAGTATATACTATAGTCACTGGCTGATTTATGTATAACATCTCGAGGTCACCGGATTCCGTAAACTTCGACAGAAAATTATATATGTAATTATATATATTTTGAAAATAATTATATAAAAGACTTAATATTCTGAACACTAAAAGCTTTTAAGGAGCACCGATTAATCAAAATAATGCATCTATCGCGTTAAAATATTGAATCCGCCTCTCACTATCATGACAAGTACCCATAGATTCAAACTTTCCTATAGAATTGGTCAAACTCATACTTCTCCTGGTATTGTTTGAAAAACAGCTTCATTCACACCTAAATTGAAGTTTTTCTATTGTCTCAAGCATCTATTTAATTTTCAACTAGCCAACAGGTTTCTCACTGGTGTCTGGTGGAAAGACAGAATATACACAAAGTTCGTATTTAAAACGCTATTTGTGGCTCACCTTAGGTGATATCTTTTTCTATCTCTTTAAATAATATGTGAGCTTCAATCTCTTATATATTAAGTATAAACTAAGACCTAAGTACAACTATATAAAACTGAAATTCTTCGAAATGCCACCTAATCACATTTTTAGTACTACATTTATCTCACCTTAGTCAATTCCTTTGTATAAACCGTGTTTGTCTTGTATCTTGTAATTATCAATTAGCGTCGGTTTTAAGTTTCTTCCTGATTTTGTTTTAAACAATATAAATGGAAGCACCTAGGGGTGTTCGTCGGTCGGTACGATACGGTATTTAGATATTTTGGTTCGGTATTCGGTTTCGTAAAATGCTATGCAAATACCGTACCTAATTAAATTCGGTATGGTTCGAATTTTCTCATATTCGGTTCGTTAATTTCGGTTTATTCGGTTTGAATACAACCTAGTGCATAAAGTCATAGACTGTAATATTTTTAATTAAAGTATTCAAAAGTACAAAATTAAAAATGTTTGTTGACAAAAATTTTGTCCAAAACTGGTAAATACCAACCTAGAGAGAGAAAATTTAGAGAAATATCTTGTTACTTGCTTAGAGTTAATTGATGAGTTTAGAGAATAATGGAAAGTAAAATTTTAGATTTCTTATATTTAAGTTACAATTAATAAAATGTGTATTGTGTAATATAATATATATTTCGGTACGATATTGGTATTTCGGTATTTTATTTTAAAATACCAAATACCATACCTAATACAAATTATTTTTTAAAACTTAAACCAAATATCATACAGAATTCCAAAATATCGAATACCGAATACCAAAATTTTCGGTTTCGGTACGGTAATTCGGTATTTACCAAATTATGCATAACCCTAGAAGCAACAATTTCCTAGAAGAAAAGAAAGAGAAGCCGGGGGTAGGTGAGAATGGTAGATGTGGATCCAGGATTTAAATCTTATGGGTAACTTTCAAGGTTTTTAGCAAACCCAGTGGCGAAGCCACCTTATAGGAAAGGGTGTCAAATGACACCTCTTTGCGGAAAAAATATACAGTTTAGGTAGGTAAAAAAATATATTATATGTATATATACTATGTATTGACTCTCTTTAATTTTCTAGTATGTTTACTTTTATATATTTTGACACCCCTTAATCAAAATTCTGGCTCCGCCACTGATTAAACCCATTATATTTTTAAAAATTATGAGTTCATATTTACTATTTTTATAATTTTAATAAATTTTTACATATAAACTTTTACTCAGTTTCGAAAGTTATGAATTTAATTGAAGACTGAGCATGGAGCTGCGGGTTGGACGAAAGACTGGACAGACAAATTGGTCCAGAAAACGAAAGCTATGGTACAATGAACTTGGGCAATAAACACTACAACTCTCTTGGCTTCCCTTTTTTTTTTTTAATTCTTTTTGAGAGTTTAAGTGTTATTCATTAATCGATTATTTAGGCCATCAGATCATCTATACAGTTATTATAAGAAAATCTTGTATAAATGATAACTAATAACCATATTTGATTAAAAATCTGTACTCTATAAATGTAGTACTAATCTTTTTTTAATCGTTTTTTTGTGTGGGCGGAACTAGTGGAGTTTGTGTGAAGGACAGGGAAGAGAACCTGGTTCCTGGCAATGTGTGTTAAGTGGAAGTGACAAAAAGTTTGGAGTGCCAAATTTATTATATCAGTAACATATAATTTCTCTTAGGGTGTACAAAGAAAACTGATAAATCGCGTTAAATCGAACCGGAAAAAAACAAACCGACGTGGTTTGGTTTGATTTAGTTTGTTATTGGGAATAAAAACCCGATCATAAATAGTTTGGTTTGATTTTAACTTAAAAAAGTTAAACCGAAACCAAACCAACCCGATAGTACATTTATATAATTTTTTAAAATATTTTATACATAAAAATATTTTATTGTAATATAATTTATAAATATTTCTTAAACTTTTTCACAGTTTTATATTTTAACGTATTATTTCAAGTTTGGACTTAACATTTTTGAATGATAAATAAATTGTATAACCCATAAATGTAGTAACTCAAACTAAGGTAGTTCAAATCAATACTAATGCTAACAAAAGAAATTTAATTCAACACTAGAAATAACGATAATGTTGGATAACAGAGGACATATTTTGTGTTTTGAAAACTTTTCTAGAAAGAAAATCCGAAAACACTCGAAAAACCCGAGACATACTTCCAATTCTTCTTTTTCGGTGAGGGGGTTGAGAGATGAGAGTGGTTCGTTATAAAACTGTCCATCTACCAGTTTAATTGTATTTAACTCTTGCCAACTTTTATTTATTAACATCACAAATCTTAAGAATCACAAATTCTGAAGTGGAACTTTTGGAGATCGGGACTTACTAGTTTCTTCCTTTTTTCTGTAATAAATAAGGTATTGAATCTGCATTAGTTGAGCTCTTCATAATTGATACAAATTCGATGCAAACAAATTAAATGAAGAAATAGTGGGGATTATACAGGTTAATTTAACTACGGTCATTGAATGTTTTATTATAACAATAAAGTCATAAAATTATTTTTATCACATAAAAAAAATTAAAGTGTACCCATTTATTCACAAAATCTTTTTTTTGTTGTTGTAGAAATTATTAAATTTTAACATCATTTGCATCCAATTAGGATCTTGATCTTTTCTTTCTTTTCTTCACATAGAAAATGAATAGTCGACCTTTCTTTTCTTTGTACTTACCTTTCTTTTAAATACTAGATGGGGCATGGCCCGTGATAGCACGGGCCAACATATTGTGAAGTACCTTAAAAAAAAAAAGTTGTTAAACTAAAGTTTTGCGACCTGCAAGTAGAGAAAATAGAATTTGCATTCTTTTTCCGGTACTACGTGGGCGTTTAGACGTAAGAATTGTAAAATTCCAAAAAAAAAAAAAAAAATTAAGTGAAAATGATATTTGAAAATTAGAATTGTGTTTGGACATGAATATAACTTTGGGGTGTTTTTAAAGTTTTGTGAGTGATCTGAGTGAATTTTGAAAAATAGTTTTTTGGAGTTTTTCAAATTTTCGAAAAATTCCAAAATACATCTTCAAGTAAAAATTAAAAATTTTATGAACAACCGCTGATTTCGAAAAAATAAAATTAAAAAAAATCAAAAAAAGGAAAAAATTTCTTATGTCCAAACGGGCTCTACATCTAATGAACTAAAAATGGATAAGCATTAATTATAGCACCAAAATACAACAGCAGGATACCCTTCTTATATGCTACCTTCTTCCGGGTATCAGCAGTTCAACACAGATAAATTTATCCTATCATAAGGTGAGCAAATCAACCCTCTTGAGTTCAACTGTTTATTAGCTGTACTGATCTACAATTGGCCAAGGAACAAACTTTAATGTTAATTCTGTAATCAAGCTTAGACAAACAGGTTATTTGCATATAATATAAAGAGAATAACTTTCTACAACCACCTAAAAAAATTAAATAGCAACCAGAAAAATACAAAACCAAATGATCAGATTAAACAAGCACTATCTAAAAGTCGTTATAATGATGTAATGCAACAAAATTTGTCAACCACCATGCATACCACCAGCTCGCAAGCAAAAGATTACTCTATTTTGTTGTCATCAAAATATCTAACATATCATATGAATTTGAGCTATATTGACTACTCAAATCATATCACAACCACGGAGTAAAGAGAAATGTCGACATCTCACGTTCAATTCTGAATTAAATGGAGACATTTAGGATATGTTCAGCTCATGAGTTACTTTGCTCTTTAATTTTTTATTTTTGTTTGCATAAATAAATGAAGTTACAATCAGCACTTATTGGCTACACTTAAGCTGTTCATGAATTTATAATGTACAAAAAAATATCATCATAACTTAGAGACATGAACAATAGTAGTATGCACAAAGCAAAGAAACAAAATAAAAATTGACACAATACATATCTCAGCCATGGGACTCATTTCAACTCTCTTTGATAATTAATTAGTGTCTATCAAAATCGAAAGATGGAAATTGTTTAGATGTTATAAAATATAGGAGAGCTTATACAATCAGACATATAATGTCTTTCAAGATATAGTCCGCTAAAAATAGTGCTTATCTGAACCTTTCAATCAGAAGTTAATCAATTAACTTCTAATGCTTGATCAGCCAACTAACATTGATAACTATTTTGTATAATTCTATCTGCAAGAGCATCACATGCTTGAAATGCATTCGACCTAGGAAATATGTATTTTTCTTTCTCAAACTTTTGGTTTGTTCTTGGCATCACTTTTGCGTCAATTTATATTTTTCTTTTTTGATATGGTAACTCTTAACTTTAATTAACCATATTTCAACTTAAAGGAGTCCGCATAAGTTCCTGTACATATTTTTCACCATCTTGACTTGAACAAATAAAAATCCTCCTGAAAGAGTAACATATTATGTTAATTTCCTGATGTACTTCATTGTACCTTCATCTCATGAATATCCTTTCTTCTTCTCTTCCTTCAGGCTTAACCTGGCAGTTACAATAATACATCTTTGATGAATACTTAATTTAGTGGCAGGCTACTCCTTTAAAAAAAGGCTTGCTACTTGCACAGAAAAGGATAATTTAATAATTGTCCTCAAGATTTATAATTTTTTAGTGATCAAAGAAAATCATCACTGCAAGCATGAGTTTGACTGAAACATTACCTAAATACAACAGTAAAAAACTCTTATTTAGCGTGCCGTCAGATGAAAGGGTTATGCGAAGAACCAGAGTGTCACCTAGAGAACAAAAACTATCAAAGTCTAACTTCAGGCAAATCCATCGAAATGCCTGACTAATACTGTTTAATTCATCACAACGCAATTAGGTCATGTATCACACACGGTATGTTAGCCACCAGAAAGCACAAGAAAAATGAAATAAGGTAGAATATGATATTTAAATGTATGAGTGAATAGATACAGCCATAGTTTTTCGCAACATCTTGGGGAGCAGGTGAATAACGACATACAAATATATCAGACAATAAGTGACTCGGAGTAATTCTAGAATAAAAAGAAGTAAACTCATAGCTTGAATGAAACTATGCCATATATAGATATATATTCCATAACACCCTTACCTTTAAGAGTTCCATTAGCAATTGTAATAAAATTTCTACCCTCCTTTAAAAATAGTTTCAGGAGAAACTATTACGTCGATGAGCTGAGCTACTTGTATCCTACTGCTAACATATGACTTCGTGTAAACCATACAAAATGATATACCAAAGGCACTATTTGTTCATGACTTAGTTTTTGAAATATCTTTTGCTAGTAAGTAGCTACAATTATTGCATGACAAAGTTACCATAGATAAGATCAGATAAAAAGGTATGCAACTCCTTCATACATCAATTACTGATGCTCGTAGAATGAACATGCATTCCAATCATATGTTAAAATAATAGTAATACAGGAACAACCATATTCTTGATCCAATAGTTTATTAGCTATAACCAGATAAACATTTGGGCACAATTTGTTACTTTCTCTATCGTAAAGCCAAATCTCTACTATAACACAAAGAGTACTTTTTAGGCGTTTCACTTAATTAAAAAACAGTACGGTAAAGATGATCTCAGGCATAGAAGTGTTCAGAAAGAATGCTTGACTTCTTCTGAATGCTCGACTTCAAGAGCATATATTTCAAGAGATACATGTCTCAGACAGAACATGGTACTTGGTTTATTGTTACTCTACATAAATGAACAAGTGATAAAAGCAAAAATAACCAAATAGATAGCTAAGAATTACATATCAAGCACCATAAGTCATGATGTGGAATGTGGTATATGGCATCTAATGGTGTGGGAGGCTTATCCTGAAGCTTAAATTGTAAAAGATCTATGTATGATTTAAATAAAGATTACGGGTGGTAATATGACGAGTTTCATGTTCAAAAGGATACTGATGCTAATGCTGCTTTAGTGTGTCTATTTGTTGATATTAAGAAAGTGGCTAAAGCAGAGGAGCAGCCTATAAATTTTGTGACTTAGTATCTATGCACATGTGCAAATTAATGAAGAAGAAACCTATGTGGTTAGTCAATAACACCCTATCAGATATCAGAAGCACTGTTACTATACCGATACTAACTCTATAGTTTAAGTTCTGCCCTAGAAGAGGAAGCCTCTTCCACCGAAATAGGTTCATGGCTCATGAAATATCTAATAGATTTTCCAAGTCTATAAATATTTTAATTTTGCTGCATAGACATACATCACTAAGAAGACATCTTATACAAAAATAAGAATGGTATATATGAAGCGTCGATAAACCTTGTAAAGTTTAGAAATTTATTTTTTTCGTCAAGCTTCATCTAGCTTCTTAGCAAGAAACTGAAAGAAAGATTTCATTATTTCTTAAAATTATTCATTTAAGGATTAAATAGCGATAATTTTTTTATCTATCATAAAATATTGCGGTAACAAGAACTATCGCTCAATTTCAAATAAGAAATAAAGAAATAATTAATAATAAAAAGATTTATGAAGATCTAATCGCTCACCTTTTGGCAAAAAGTGTCAAATTCTGTCATGCAAACCATCAGGTATTTGCAATTTGACCAAAACATCGGATCACGTGAACTATCTTAGCTTGCGCTTTCACTCTCTTCAAATTAACCACGGTTAACTTCAAGAAAATTTTTACCTTAATAATTAGTAATTAAAGATTCGGAGTATGATAAAGACTAAAGTTTTTTTT